TATTTTAGTAATTTTTTTTCACGCATCGACCAACTAGTAATTAATTTCGAACATTTAAGCTGATGAAATACACTTCAGTTTTGTTTTATATTTTAATGCGCTTTCTATATTTACATTTGTTTGCCTATGCTTGATAAAAGCAACAAATGCATTTTATATGTTCAGTAACTGAGGTATAATGAATTTTATTCATCCAATAGATTGGGTAGTTTTTTACGATTTGCCTTCTAATGGACTTCTCTCATTACATTTTTTATTACTAGCATAAACGGGTCGGCAACACTACGTTTACCTCAGCTTTTTCCTATGCAGGTCGAAAGAATAAATTCATTATCTTAAATTGATGAAACCTTTTTTTCGTAACTTTAACAATTTTAAAAAAGCATTTATTTGTGTTTGTATGTAGTAAGTGAATGGTACGCATTGGAATTGTATTGTAATTCGTATTTTCGATTTCTTTTCCTTTTTTCTCTTAGTCTGGTCTAATAGTCTCGACAGATCAGAAACTTTGGATAGTTCCATAGTACTTTCAAATGGGAGAAAGATGTTTTGGCACTTGCCTAATATAGTTTGCGTATTTCATTTTAGATTTTTCAATTTATCCAAATATACATAGCATAAGAATTAAATAATATGATAGGTCGAAATAGAACTCACGGCGCTTTCTTAAGAAAAATCAAAGTTGCCACCAAAGACTTTGATGCTAGCTATGTCATCTCTAATGCTATTAAGTTTCTGAATGTTTCGACATGCACCTACTGTTGTAGCTCCGACCAATTGCGACCAGCTTTATTAAAGAGTGTCAGCAGGAGAGACGCCATTCTCTTTAAGAGTCTTTGAAAAATGTCTTTAAATTTATAATATTTCAAGTAAAATCAAGTTTGAATCTTATTATTTAATTTTTAGTATCACGACTGCAGGTAGACAAATTCTCAGATCGGTGAAGGTTATGATGTGTGTTTTGACGTGTAATACTGAAACTTTTTTACTCTTACACTTGGCATAGAAGTGTTTTATAAAAAATTTTGCGATGAGTGTAAAACGATTCGGGATTAAGCTAAGCATTTGAGACTTTCACACCCAATAGAGGTTGGTCCTGTGCAATTTTGTAATTCCACTGTAATAAGGTTAAATAATTATTTTAAATATATATTATGCGAATGTGAGATGTGGTATCAAATTTACTAAACGCTTTTTTAACGGTTCTGTAAACCAACTTTTTGGAAAATAAGTCTTTGTCAAAGTATCATATATGTGAAGAACGTATGGTGTTTCATCACGAAGTGTATGAATTTACATCACCAATCCGAGCTGCTTCTGCGAAAGTTTGAGCTATAATGATCATGTATTTTTTATGAATTGTCTCGAACTCTTAAGAAAATATGCTGCATGGTCTCTTAATGGTTTCCTTCCTTGTATGGGGAATAAGTCCGTAACCTTTTTATCACTAACCTAATTTTTCAACGTCAACATGCTCTTTTTTACATATTTGGAATTCTTGTAAAAAGCGGCTAAGTGGACGCAGTTCTGTTAAATTGGACGCATCTTTATTAAAGTGGACTGGTTGTCCGCTAAAAGTTTCTGGTTTTCTGTTAAAACTAGAACCAAATTTGTATGGCAGCACCAAACAAATATTTATCAAATGTCAAACAGCTGTTGTACATCAATTAAAGAACTATAAAGCACTTCATTAATAAATGCTAATGTAAGAAGAGAGTACTAAGTGAATTTGGCAAACGTAAAGATAAGCTGAAGAAAACTAGTGAAGAACGATTATTATCAAGAACAATTTAAATTTCAAATTCAAGTTTGGCTGTAACCAATAAATGAAAGAAAATAAATTTTTTAAGTGAAATAAATTTGAAAGTACATTTGATTTAAATTTTATTCAATGGTCGTAGGTTCAAATTTGTTTCAAAGTGCGGTAGAGTTTCCAATAAAGCCGATAGCCTTTCATTCTAATGCTTTAATACTTTAGTCTTAGCATTTATTCTCTGGCTAAATTAAGAATAATAATAATAACAGTAATATTTTATAGAAAATGTTAACAGCGTTGCTTAGTAACCGTACATTAGGAGGGATGTATATTTGATGTTCGACGTAATAAAAAAAAATGCGCTTAACATTGTTTTAGAATTCGTAAGCGATGCTGGATAGACAAGCACAACATAAAAAATAAACTGCATCATATTGCAACTATACTCTCTGCTTCCGGTCAATGCTTTTATGGTTCTATTTGTACAAATATCGTACGAAAAAAATTCTACGCACAACTACACATGTACTGTTGTCGAATATGTCACAAGCAGTACGTGAAGAGCGAGGGAGAAATAGATAGACATGTATGCGCGAGTGACATTTACACCCGTACACGAAATATCCATAAGTAGCATAAACAGCAGAGCAAAAACAAGAATGACAAGCAACATTGCGATCAACATATAACATGAATGAATGTGATGACAAAAGTCAACGACTTCCGTTTTTATTTTTATTTTTTTTTTTTTCGAGAAGTTCAAAGTTTTAAAGTCTCGGTTATAAAAACTGTTTGAGAATGGGAAAAAAATGTTTCAGGGTAAAAAATATATATTAAGAGGAAAAGAACGTTAACTATTGTGAGAGAATATCAGCGTAATGCAAATTAATTAATTAATTTAAACGAGTAATTAGCACCATGTTTAAGACGTTGACTACGATAGCGAAACCAAATGAATAAATATGCAATATACACAAGAAAACGAGAAGAAAATTTTTTTTACAGCAACGCAAAACTGAGCAAAAGATATGCATAAGTGCAGATGTACAAAAGTTTGTCTGCTTGTACGTTCGTATAAATAAACACAACCTCAAAAACAATTAGTAAACAAATACTTTAAGTGCTTGTTGACTGGCCAAGCGCATTCGGTGGGTACGCAAAGATAGTGTACAAGCGGCAGCGGGAGTGTCCACTACGGTGGATAGCATTCAAGACATGGACTTGGATTTTTTGATCTTCCAACATGTATGCAAAATGATACGTTTAAGCTTAACAATAAATTAAGCCCTGAATGTTTAGCTAAATGAAGAAGTATATGACTGCACATGCGTATTCTGTGATTTTGTTCATGGTTCTTGTTGCACATTGACAACATTGATAATTCTGTGCTTGCTGATCGATCTTTGTTTGTTTGTTGTTGTTGCAATGATGCCTCACTGCCATAGGGTGCAATTACGTATGTAAGCAGATTTACTTGCTATTTTACTTGTTTGTTTATTTGCTTGGTCTGTTAGTCGGCTTTTGGTTGTTACAGCAGCCCTGTATGCATTTAAATTAACGTAAATTGAATTGCATTTGCATTATGCTTGTCGTATGTAAACTTTTCTCAGTTCGTATTTATGTATGGTTAAAGTGTTTTGTTGTCGTTGTCGTCGGTTTTCTGCCGGCTGCTAATGAATGAATTTCCTAAAAACATGTGATTCTTGAATATAAACAAATAAAATATGCGTTCGAGACTAAAGTATCCGTATACATGTCTAAGTCAATGAAGAATTTTCATATGAAACTTGTAAATACCAATAATATAGTGAAAAATTTTTAAATGCAGCAAGTAAGCAGGCTTCAAACCTGGTTACGGCTTATTAAAGCCGAAGATACAAAAATAGTCAAGTTTTGCATTCCTGGTGCACAAACCAGTTAATCCATTAAGGTGGCTTTATCTAGGACCGTACTCGTCGTGTTTTCTACTTTTTGAGCCAATGGAAGCATTTAAGAAGAGAAGTTGGATAAATTACCTTTCCGTCCGTGTTTTGCCTTTGATTTGCACAGAATAAGTCAGAAAATGACCTAAATTAAACTATAGCAATAAGTGAAGATCTTCACAATTCCAAAAATAGTTCAAAAGAAAATAAATGGAAGTCTTTGTTTCGCAACACAATTTTGCAAAAAAAATATCGTCATAGTTAGTCACTCAATTAAAGGGTTCTGGTTTACCTCCTGATTTCCAAAACTTTGTTCTAACACAAAATTATTGAGTGTTATTGTTGTTGTGATAGGAGGAGTATTTTGGAGTAGATTCAGAAATGTGATTTTTAATCGCTGGTCGTTAGTTGATTCTTCTGCCCACTAATTTGTTACTATTGTTTTGTCTCTTTTATTTGTTCCCCTTCGTCAAATGTTGTCTTTATTCGTTATGACTAAATTTGTAAAACGAAATGCACATCAACATGTATGTACCGTATCTTGTGGAAAATAAACCTTTTCTTTTCTCTTTTAGGGTTCTATAATTATTTATAGGTATTTTATTGCTTCGAATGGTTTTCTACATATAATTATTTTAATAGTAAGAAAACACATTTACTTCATAGTAAAAAATGTAGCGTTTATAGGAAAGAACGGCAAGAAATTAAAGTTTGACATGATTTTTAATGAAACACCAGAACATGAGAAAGCGAAGTCTGGACGTATACAAAACGATTTAAAAAATCATAATAATGAAAACAACAATAAAGCAATATGAGAAGAAAAAACGCTAGTTCCAGATAAGCTCGAATATTTGAAAAAAGAAAGAAAATGAAAAAAAATTTAATAAATAAAATGAAACGAATATAAAAAAATTTTTATAAACATTTTTGTAAAGTGCAGAAGAAATATTAAATAAAAAAAGTTTAATAAATACCGCAATAAATTAATATAAAATATTGAAGAAAAAAAATTTTGCACAAGATTTTAAAAAGGCTTAACATTGATTCACATTTTGTTACACTTTCATTCAAATTAAATAGAAACTTTCCGGAGAACCACAAGAGAAACAATTTCTGCCACACTATTATCATATAAGAAATTAGTAATCTGCGGTATCATTGTTAGTGTAAATTCAACATGTAATAGTAAATTTAAACATGTGTATGTTGCGTGTTTAATTTTATACACATACCCCACACACACGCCTACACACATATATATACATATATATATATATATATATATATATATATATACATATATATATATATGTACGTTTTTATCGTTGCCTGCTTCCATCACATTCAACAGAATGTTTACAAAACATTTCCGGAGAAAATCTTTATTAAACGGTAGCTGTTTTACGCCGACTTCGTCATCATCGTCGACACAAATGCAAACGCAATCATCGACATTGTCATCATCGCCAGCATTTCTATTTTATAATAGTAAAATTACAATAATGTTTGCTGTTATCAGTTATATATTAATTACATTAGTTCATAAGGTAAGTGAGTTGATATTTATTTCTTTCATTTACACATATATAAGTAGTAGAGAGCAACTGCTTATAATAAGTAACATAACAGCTATAAACGCACATCAGAGACTATATAATTCCAATAACCAGCCGTTGTAGTATATCGGTCGGCTCCTTGCGATGATGGAATTTCCTAGATAGGAAAATAAACTCACAAATTTCAAAATCAATAAAATAATAAAAAAAAAAAAAACAATAATTGAATTGATCGCTCGCTCTGACTGAAGACAAAAAAATATTAATATGTTTTCAGAAATAATATACATTTTTATTTTTACGTACTTTGCTGTTATTATTGATCAGAAATTGTACAACAATTTTTTCCAGATTCTGATGCACGTTATTGTCGCATTTCTTGTCACATGTGTAATATAAATTTCTAATCGAACAGTTACATACTTATTAATTAATCATAGGGTACAGTTTTGCTTAGAAAAAAGCTTCGATCATGTTTGGTTTTGTCAATATACCTCCAATCAATTTTTATGGGATTTAATTTTTTTTATTAAAGGTTTATTTTACGTTACGTAAATAGATAGAAAAGAACATTTTATTTCACATCAAGTAAGTTTTTTGGGAAGTTGTGTTGGAACCATAAAAGGAATACTTAAATAATTGTTTCCAATAAACAGAGCAAAAAAATAATAAACCGAATATAAAATGACTTAATTATAGAACACCTCAAGGGGACTTTAATGCGTGTTTCTATTGTGATTGATATTCAAAATATCAATATAGATAAAGTCGAGGATAAAAATTGATTTCTTAGTTTGAAACTTTAATATGCAACCTTTAGTAAGGCAACAGCTTAAATGAAAAATTTTTTTCCAAAGCAAACCTTTGTTCTTTTTTCACTTTTTGATAGCCATTAATATCTGAATTTTTAAATTTGAGTTAACCAATTAAAAGCTAAAGACTAAACTGACGATGTTTTAGTGATTATGTTATTTCAGTGCTATGGATCCAAGTTTCGTTAGTTAATGAGAGGTCCTCTAAAGATGGGAGGTCCTAAACAAACTAATGCTTTATAAATTTGGTGTTCATGGAAAAAATTTGATAGCTACTTATTATTTTTTTCTATATATTTCTTTTGTCTTCGTCATGAGCGATCATTATGGCGACAATTTTGGGTTTCCTAAAACGGTTCATTTTAGTTACTTTGACCCACAGCATTTTAACAGCTTGTTATCTTTCCCGCACGTTTTTACTTTTTATCGTTTCGAAATGATTGCCATGTAAATGCTTGTTGCGTTTGGTGTTTCTGTTACTTTTTGCTAGCTTTTTATTCTTTATTTTTTTCTTCGGCTAGTCGAGTTGCTCGCGGTCGGCAATCCGCTTCATTCAACATTTTCATGAAATATTCGTGAGCATCAATTAAGAATAATTTGCTTGCACGACAAAAATGTTTGAAGAGAACTTGAGTTTTTTTCATATTTCATTTCATTTTTCTTTTTCGTTAAGCATCTTTTTATGCACCAGTAACTCGCTTTTTATTTTGGTTGACGGTATTATGGAAATTTTTTGTGTTCTCATACCCTACGTTTATTATACCTATCACATTCAGAAGCATTTCGTGAAGCGACTGAGGCTTACCTTTTCGTCTGACATTTAGATAGATAGATAGATAGATAGATATTTTTTTCAGCCTATAGATAGCAATTTTTCCTACATTTGGTGAAATTCGGTCCACAACAGTAAGTGGACATATAAATTAACCGTATTACATTTTTTTAATCCTGGCTCTTTATGAACAGCAAGCCATACAAAATATGATTGTTATATTTTTTCACAAAAATATAGCAAAAGTTATATGGAATGAGGTGGTGTAGGATCTTTAATAGATGACTTTCTCCTATTGTCATGCTTTTACTAGGTTTGGTTTGCGAAAGTTACCGCGCCATGGACGATAAGTGTTGACTGTTAATGTCTCATAACCTAAAAAGGGAAGCCATATTAAACAATTCAAATCAAAACGTATGGTTTGTTTCTTTATACTCGCCACTATGCCCAGAAGGTAACCTTATCATGTCGTGAAGTACATGCATTTTTCTCGCCGGAAAAATGAAGCTATCGGCTTCAAAAATGACAAAAGCAATGAATATTCTTGGATGGTTGTTTGCTCACTAGTCGTAAACTGCAGCATAAAAATGTTCACTTCTATATTTTGGGAGATGCTATAGTATTTGTGCAAAGATGAAAAAAATCGGCCATTCTCGTCCAACATTGTAGAGCATTACGCGTTCGTTCGCTTGTCAAAGCTATTGAATCACCCAGAAGCAAGCTTAAGAGACACCACAAAGTATGTATGCTTGAGCATTTTGAATTTCGAAAATGACCTAAGCAGGTCCATCTGTTCGTCCATCCAAATGTTCATCTTCCCATCTATGTAATATGGCTACGGACAATTCGCCGTTCGCAAAAATGAAGACAAAACCTTGCAAATTCTTCCATGTGAACCTATAAACTAATTAATCGACACGTACTTCTCTTCCTGTTTATAAGATATAGAAAAGGCGCAGAGTTTCTGATTAATCAGATGGTAGGTTTTCAAAAGTTATCCAAAAGATATACATTAATTTCTTATTAGCTATTTTATTAACTAAAAAACTAATCGGTTCAGGTATGTCTTTATTAGGTAAACAAAAGAATATATTAGTTCTCAAAAGTGAACAACCATTTAGTTAAATTTGCGTGTTTATCCTTTGTGTTCTCACTTGTTTTTCATTTCTTTCTTATTAAAGCAAAACACATAATTTATATAGAGAAAACCATTCTAAAATTCTTCTATCATGCTATAAATAAGTTGTGATTACATGATATTTTTTTAAAACTCCTCTAATAGTAGCTGTTTTTAAAAAAAAAGTTGGGTTTTGCTTTTTAGTAACATTTTGTATGTGCACCCAATAATTTGTTGTTGCTTTTAACGTTAGAGCACAAAACATTTTCAAGGCTCTTTTCTATAGGTAGTTTTGAATACCTTAAAAACTTTATGATCTTAACGTTTAATCTCTTTGTGATCTACAGATGTGGGAAATTAACAAAAAGACAAAACCCTTGAACAACAACAGCAAGAATCAAATAAAATTAGTTGTCAATGTATTTTCATTCGTCGCGTCTGTTGGCCTAAAAATTTGTATCGCTCCGCTTCATTGCCTTTACTTCTGGGATGAGCAGACATAATGCCAAAATTATCAGAAAATCGTAAAAGCCAGAATTAACCAGTCGACTAGACATAAATGTTACAAATGAGTTTTTAGTAAAGTTTCAAATGATTTTGGGCGATACTTTCATGCTTTTTTGGCAGTAATGGGTCTTGTTCTGTTCTGTTTAGTCAGTCATCCGGCTTGATCTTGATTTCACTATTTTTAATATGTATACCCTTAGTTGCCATTTTTATCTAGGATTAATTAAATGACATCTTGTAATAAATTATCTTCGTCAGTCGGATCTTGACCATCAATTTTGTCTTTAATTCACTATGTGTATGCTATGCTTTGATTTGATTTGTGTAAGCATTTGCGACTACAGTGTATTCATTTAAAAATTGTTTTTTTTATTTATTTATTATCATTTTTTTTTCTTTTTTGCTTGATTACCCAAAATGGAAGGTTCTAACATCGTTTCTAGGTTCTTCTCATACACAATTTTTTCCCTTTACTTTAATATTTTGATAGCGCTTTAAAATTGTGTGAAAAAAGTCGATCTTTTATGTTTCGTGTGTATTTGTATGGGTATTTCAGTAAGTTTTCAAGTATTTGTTGAAATTTGATTTGTTGCATTTGTATTGTTTGTCTCCTGCTTGTGTGGTTTGCGTTAATTGGTACATGGCTTCATAAAACATTTCGACAGAATGCCTGTTGTTTGGTTTCAACGAAGTTTATCTCAATGATTAAATATTTTTTTTATCCGTTTGATGTTTTGTTTGTTTTTCTTTTCTTGTACTTTTGTAAGTTTAGTTTGATTATACCAACCGTTTTGAAGATTGAATACTAATTTCTTTAAGGTACAAGATCATTTATTAAAAGTTTGCACTAGTTTAGAAACGAGAGATACATTTGCTGCTTCCTTACATTCTGCTTTAATTCCATCCAAATTTGGTTTTAGACCTTTTGAGCCTTTACTTAAAGATAATATTGTTTCTCCATATAAAGCAACAATAAAAGCGACATGTAGTTATGCAGACAAATGTAGACGTGCACAACTTATAAGAAAAATAAATGTTGCAATTAGAGTTGTAGATATGTCTGAAAGCGAAGCAAAGCAATGTCTAGGATTGTTATTTAAGTAAAGCATTCTTAGGAGTGCTACATACATTAGTTTGGACTGTAGGTGAGTTTCGAGAGTCAATCGATATTTTTTTCATATTTCATTTGCATATGAATATAAGGTGTTAGCTTAAATTAGATTATTAGGATATTTAGAGATTTGCTAACACCCTTCTCTCATTCGAATGTTTCAGTGAGGGTCGCTTCTATAAATTCCATTGATGTAGTGAAATTCAACAGAGGAGCCGAGAGGCAAAACAAATAAAAAGAAGAAAAATGGAGCATATGTAAGCGCAAAAGAAATACAAAAAAAGTGAATTTAAACGGGCGTAGACGAAACGAAATTTCCACTGAGGTATTGAGTGACTACAAATCAGTATATTTTGTCAAAATTAAGTCAATTATTTGCTTAAATATAATTAAAGATGGATACTTTTTACCTATAGAAAATAAATATTCCACAAATAGCATCTATTAATACTTTCACTATATGTAAGCAAAAAAAAAGAAATGGTTTTAAATTCTTTTAAGCGTAAGATCAGTAAAAAGTTTTGTCAAGAAAAATCGACCTGCAGGAAAGAAAAAAGGAAGAACAAATACAATGAGTACTTCGCTATAATAACGACAGTTAATGGCAACCAGTGTGACATGATTAAGCATAATTGAAATTTTGAAAAATTTACAACAAACCGCAGTCAACAC